GTGGATAGAGCGTCAGCCTGCGGACTGAAGAGTTCCAAGTTTGATTCTGGTCAACGGCACATGCCCGGGTTGTGGGCTCGATCCCCAGTGTGGGGCCTGCAGGAGGCAGCCGATCCATGATTCTCTCACATCATTGCTGTTTCTATCTCTCTCTCTCCCCTCTCCCTTCCTCTCCGAAATCAATAAAAATATATTTTAAAAAATATATATATATGAGAAGCTTAGATGACTTCTCTCCGATTCCTTCTCTCCGAGCTTTCATGTTATCATTCCAGAGTAATTTAGTTCCCCTGGGTTTTCTGAGGCCCTTCATTTGTCTATCAAGTAGATTCGTCAAGACGTTGGCCCTCGCCCTTGCTTAGCTCAGCATCATGCCTGGCATTCCCCTCCTGCCTCCTGGGTCCAACTTCATAAAAACTGCAGGGCATCGCCTAACGGGTCTTTCAACAAAGGACTGAGGAATCAGGTTTCTCCATCTCAAATTGTTCAATTTTACCTTCACTTTTTTTTAACCTTTTACTGAACTATAATACACACGCACATACACACATACACACGCACCCACGCGTGCACGCACACATACACATGCGCACGCACACATACACATACATACGCACACACATGCACAGAGAGACACATGCGCGCGCACATACACACACGCACACGCACACGCACATTCACCGCCCCCCATTCTCCTCTGGTAATCACCATCCTGTTGTCTGCCTATGAGTTTCCTTGTTTGTTTTTTCTGCTTAATCCCGGCACCGTTTTTACCTGGAAATGATGACTTTTGAGTCTTTTTTAAAAATATATTTTATCGATTTTTTACAGAGAGCAAGGGAGAGGGATAGAGAGTGAGAAACATCGATGAGAGAGAAACATCGACCAGCTGCCTCCTGCACACCCCCTCCTGGGGATGTGCCTGCAACCAAGGTACATGCCCTTGACCGGAATCGAACCTGGGACCCTTCAGTCCGCAGGCCGACACTCTATCCACTGAGCCAAACCGGTCAGGGCAACTTTTGAGTCTTTTAATATAAAATGTATTTAATTGTAAGTTTATATAACTTGTGTGGGGGTTTTTATTATAATAATGGCTGTGTCTCAAGAACCAAGATGGCGGCATAGGTTAACACCGGAGTTTGCTGCTTTGAACAACTACTTCAAAAATGAAACCAAAAAACGGAAGGGACATCATTCAGAACCACAGGAACGCCGGCTGAGTGGAAGTCCTACAACTAGGAGGAAAGAGAAACGCATACGGACACTCAGAGGAGGCGCAGTGCTGAAGTCAAATTCTGAGGTGCGGAGTGCGCGGAGCGGGCTGGCGGTGGAGGGCGCGGTTGGCATTTTCAATCGGGAGGGAGTCGCAGACTCTGAGCTCCAGATCCGGGCGAGTCTTTAGGGACCCAGACTCAAACGGGAGAAGCGGGACTGTCTGGCTTCGGTCAGAGCGAGTGCAGCTTTCTCTCTGAGCTTTGCAGCGGGTGCTGGGACTCAGAGAGGCAGAGCCCCTGGGGACAGGACTGAGAGCCGCCATAACTGCTCTCTCCAGCCCACCCTGTTGATCCTGTGCGACCCGCCCCGCCCAAGCCCTGCACTGAGGCATTTGCCGGATAGCCTCAGGCAAACGCCAGATTAGCACCTCCCTAGAGGACAGAAGTTCTCTCACTGCTGACACAGCTGATTCTCATAGCCACTTGGCCTGGAGGTCAAACCCTCCCTGGAATTAGCTACAACAATCAAGATTTAACTATAAGACTGCGAACAAAGACCACTAGGGGGTGCACCAAGGAAGCATAACAAAATGCGGAGACAAAGAAACAGGACAAAATTGTCAATGGAAGATATAGAGTTCAGAACCACACTTTTAAGGTCTCTCAAGAACTGTTTGAAAGCCGCCGATAAACTTAATGAGATCTACAAGAAAACTAATGAGACCCTCGATCTTATATTGGGGAACCAACTAGAAATTAAGCATACACGGACTGAAATAACGAATATTATACAGACTCCCGACAGCAGACCAGAGGAGCGCAAGAATCAAGTCAATGATTTGAAATGCAAGGAAGCAAAAAACACCCAACCGGAAAAGCAAAATGAAAAAAGAATCCAAAAATGCGAGGATAGTGTAAGGAGCCTCTGGGACAGCTTCAAGCGTACCAACATCAGAATTATAGGGGTGCCAGAAGATGAGAGAGAGCAAGATATTGAAAACCTATTTGAAGAAATAATGACAGAAAACTTCCCCCACCTGGTGAAAGAAATGGACTTACAGGTCCAAGAAGCGCGGAGAACCCCAAACAAAAGGAATCCAAAGAGGACCACACCAAGACACATCATAATTAAAATGCCAAGAGCAAAAGATAAAGAGAGAATCTTAAAAACAGCAAGAGAAAGAAACTCAGTTACCTACAAGGGAATACCCATACGACTGTCAGCTGATTTCTCAACAGAAACTTTGCAGGCCAGAAGGGAGTGGCAAGAAATATTCAAAGTGATGAATACCAAGAACCTACAACCAAGATTACTTTATCCAGCAAAGCTATCATTCAGAATTGAAGGTCAGATAAAGAGCTTCACAGATAAGGAAAAGCTAAAGGAGTTCATCACCACCAAACCAGGATTATATGAAATGCTGAAAGGTATCCTTTAAGAAGAGGAAGAGGAAGAAAAAGGTAAAGATACAAATTATGAACAACAAATACTCATCTATCAACAAGTGAATCTAAGAATCAAGTGAATAAATAATCTGATGAACAGAATGAACTGGTGATTATAATAGAATCAGGGACATAGAAAGGGAATGGACTGACTATTCCTGGGGGGGAAAGGGGTGTGGGAGATGCGGGAAGATACTGGACAAAAATCGTGCACCTATGGATGAGGACAGTGGGTGGGGAGTGAGGGCGGAGGGTGGGGCGGGAACTGGGAGGAGGGGAGTTATGGGGGGAAAAAAAGAGGAACAAATGTAATAATCTGAACAATAAAGATTTAATTAAAAAAAAAAAAAAAAAAAAAATAATGGCTGTGTCTAATAGCTGGCTAGCAAAATTCCTGACAGTATAACAACCATCGGCCCCATGAGCCTGGACAAGCCCTCTCCTGCCGCTGAATTAGCCACCGGTCCTCTCCCAGAGCCCATCCTGACACACAAATGGCCTTCATGTTTGGTTTAGGGCCTGGCCACTGGACAGGTGCTCAGGACGGGCTCAGTGTCCTTTGTGAGGACCAGCACTTGTTCCCCTGGTGACTGTGTCCCCTCCCCCTGGACACAGCCCAAAAGGTGACCTTTCCCCTCCCTGGCTCTAAGCTGTTTTCATGCCGAGCCACCGGCAGCTGCCCCCACTTCAGGACAGACTATGTCAGGAATGCCCAGGACGTGCACCCACAGCAGCGAGCGCAGCCAGTGCCAGGCCACGTCAGGTGCTCCCAAGGGCATCCACGTGGCCAGAGGAGAGCGGCCGCAGCCGGGGAGGAGCGGCTGGCCCCTGGGCTCTCGGCTCCAGGACATCTGTGGTCTCGGGTGAGGAGGGACCCCACAGTCCTCTGCCCTCACATGTTTCAGACCTGGATCCAAATGACCGCTCCTCCGTGCAACCTCACTTCTCCCGTTGCTGCTCTCCCCTTGCAAACACCAGCGATAGTCGTAATGTTGAGGGTGAAATGCATGGGGTACTTGCTCTAGAATTAACCCACTTCAGTGTCATAACAGCCCTATGAAGTATGTACTATTCTTTTTTTAAAAATATATTTTATTGATTTTTTTACAGAGAGGAAGGGAGAGGGATAGAGAGTTAGAAATATTGATGAGAGAGAAACACCTATCAGCTGCCTCCTGTACCCCCCCTACTGGGGATGTGCCCGCAACCAAGGTACATGCCCTTGACCGGAATCGAACCTGGGACCCTTCAGCCCGCAGGCCGACGCTCTATCCACTGAGCCAAACCGGCTAGGGCTCTTTTTATTTTTTATTTTATTTTTTTGAGAGGGGAAGGGGCATTGATTTATTGTTCTACTTAGTTATTGGTTGATTCTTGTATGTGTCCTGACTAGGGATCGAACCCACAACCTTGCTGTAGCAGGACCATGCTCTCTAACCAACTGAGCTACCTGGCCAGGGCAAAGTAGGTACTATTCTTTTTTTAAATGTTTTTATTGATTTTAGAGAGAGAGGAAGTGAGAGGAAGAGAGATAGAAACATTGATGAGAGAGAAACATCAACCGACTGCCTCTTGCACGCCCCCTACTGGGGCTCAAGCCCCCAACCTGGGCATGTGCCCTGACCTGGAGTCCAACTGGTGACCTCTGGGTTCCTGGGTCAACACTCAAAATCTGAGCCACACCCAGCTGGTCTTTTGTTGATTTTTAGATTTAGGAGAGAGAGAGAGAGAGAGAGAGAGAGAGAGAGAGAGAGAGAGAGAGAGAGAGAGAGAGAGAGACCCACAACCTTTTGGTGTACCGGGTGACGCTCCAATGACCTGAGCCACCTGGCCAGGGTGGGTTTTTAGGTGGGGGTTTTCGTCTTGTTTTGTCTTTATAAGCTGGAAATACCCTTAGCAAATTGATATGCTGACTAAAGGGAGCTGGCAGAGGTGAGGCTGAAGGTGCCAGGGAGAGAGGAGGGTGATGGAGGGAGGTGGCTGAGCCCACACACTGAGGGGTCCAAGCTGCAGACTGAGAACATTCACCCCCTCTCCGGGGCTGAGGGGGCTGAGATGGTCGCAGTCTGGTGGCCTCTGTGGCCTCTGATAAGTAGGGGCGGAGAGTGGCCGGGATGGAGTAGCTTGGTGGAGTCTGTAACACTCAGTTTGGGAGAACAGGTCAAGGAGGTTGCCAAGACAACAACTGCAGAAGAAAGTAATACAAATGAGTGAGACAGCCCCCTCCGGTGTCATTGCCCCAGAAGCCGAATCCTTAGACGTCTTTGTGGACGCTGGTTATACCTGTAGCCATTAAGCTCACTCATCCTCTCCTTTCTTTATTGCTTTTGCCACCAGGAGGTGACACTCGCTCCAGTTTCAAAGGACAGCTCCCCATGGCCCCCCAATAAAAGCTACATGGAGGGGACTCGATCTCTCCCCAGCCTGGAAGGTTACTCAGGGATGTCAGCTGCCTGCAACCTGGGAAAGGGCCCTCACCAGACACGGAGTCGGCCAGCCCTCGGTCTCGGACTTCCGGAGCCAGGTCAGCGATTTTTCCACTGTGTCACGGGCTGCCCCACAAGGTGCCGTGGTCTCCGAAGGCCTCCCCTTACTTGGTCAAACAGAAAAGACAGCCTTGGCATTGGCCTCCCTGGACTCGACTTAGTTGTAGGAATTCGTTGCAAGCACTGGCCCTCTGCCTGGGAACCTGATTTAGCTCTTCAATAATTCAGACCCGAGTTTCACGAGGAGGCAAGCAGCTTTCCTCTCTGACCTCTGGCAGTGGGTACAGAGGAGCCACCTAGAAAGAGTTCTGTGACCACTTAGCCACGCCTGTCGAGGGCAAGGCGGAGCGAGAGTTAACCCTGGGTGCCCAATACTTGCCCAAGCTGGTCAGGGCGAAGGTAGGTGCTAGGCATAAGGACAAGCTTTGCAGAAAAGCTTGGAGTCTACAGAAACCTTGGTCTTTCTGTTTCTTCACCGAGTCGTTTCTTTTTATTAAAATATTTATTTATTTACTTCAATATATATTTTTATTGATTTCAGAGAGGAAGGGAGAGGGAGAGATAGAAACATCAATGATGAGAATGAATCATTGATCGGCTGCCTCCTGCACACCCCCTGCTGGGGATCGAGCCTGCAACCCGGGCAGGTGCCCTGACCAGGGATCGAACTGTGACTTCCTGGTTCATAGGTCGACGCTCAACCATTGAGCTACGCTGGCCGGGCTAATATTTATTGATTTTAGAGAGCTAGAAAGAGAGAGAGAGAAAGATTAATTTGTTGTTCCACTTATTCATGCATTCACTGGTTGATTCCTTTTTTTTTTTTATAATCCTCACCCAAGGATATGTGTGTGTGTGTGTGTTTTTAATTGATTTCAGAGAGAGAGGAAGGGTGAGGGAGAGAGTGAGAGAGAGAGAAACATCAGTGTGAGAGAGAAACATTGATTGATTGCCCCTTGTTTATGCTCCTACTGGGGACTGAACCCGAAACCCAGGCATGTGCCCTGACTGGGAATCGAACCCATGACCTTTGGTGTATGGATTGACGCTCTAATCAACTGAGTCACACTGGTCAGGGCTCACTGGTTGATTCTTGTATGTGCCTTGACCAGGGATCAAACCCAAAATTTCGGTGTATTTGGGATGACATTTTAATCAACTGAGCTACCTGGCCAGGTCCCTCAGTGAGTAGTTTTAGGTGCTACGGTTGTTGACTGAGAACGTTTATGTCTATTTGGGGAAATCAAGGCAGGGGGCATGCAGAAGGGAGAAGGACAAACCAGCGGCTCTCAGGGTCTGTACATCCCCCACCCCGTGTTGAATTCAGGGCACAGTGAGCAGAGCAGTTACCAAGGTTTCTGGCCAAGGCTGCCTCTTGGCGCCCAGATCTGAAGAGACGGGGAGGCCAGGGGCCTGTCAAAATAGCCTGGTGGGAGGAATGCTGAGTTTCTTCCTGCCAGAGGCGAGCACAGGATGTACCAGATGCAGCCTGGTCCTGTGCTCTGGGTGCAAATGGATTTAGATTCTGTGGGGCCTGAGGCTCACACAGTTGGGTCGGCCAGGCAGGGGGTGCCATTTAAAGAAAAGAATACAGAATTAGGTACTGAGCCTTGGAAGGGGCCCGTGCCAGGGACGGGCCCTGAAGCCTCACAAAGGGATCTGTGTGGAGAAGAAAATAAAATGGTGCGAGGATGGACAGAGCATCCAGGACAGGGGAAGTGACTCCAGCTCGGAATCGTCCGGGGAGGTTGACTTCTGAGCTGCAAACCAAATGACAAGGGGCTGGCCCAGGGGACAGCTGCATGAAGAGCTTTCTGAGCAGAAGCAGCAGCACGTGCAAAGGGCCTGAGGCAGAAACAGGCTTGATGCCAGACACCGGAGAAGATCCATGTGCCTGGAGTGCGGTGAGCCAGGGCAGAGGGAGACGTGCTGGGCTCAGAGGAGCGGGCAGGGCTGGTTCCCATGGGCCTTGGAGGCCTGGCAAGGAGGCCTGGCAAGGAGGCCTGGCCATTATTCCGGGATCCGTGGGAAACCATCGCAGGCTTTTCAGTGAGGCTCACTGTGAAAGGGGCAGCAGAGTGGTGTGTGGAGAACGGCTCGCACACAATTCCAAAAAGAGGGTGGCAAGTAGAGGCAGTTGGTGGGGGCAGGGGAGGGTAAGGGGTGTTGGCAGAACCTGGTCCTTGCAGGTCTGACAGTCGGGGCAGTCACGAACAGAGGGTGGCTCCTCCCAACTCCCACGGAGGCCCCCTCTGCTAGGCCTCCCCGTTACTCACACCCCTCCCCCCCCCAGAGCACTTTGAGAACAAAAGGGCTCCTGCCTACCCATGCCGCTGGGATTTGTGGGTATGGGTGACTTCGGAAGTCCTGGGTCAGTGGCAGGGGCCCTTAGCAACCCCCCAGGGGTCCAGAGGGGAGCACCCCTTCCCAGACTGTCTGATGGCCACGTTTGGGGTGGAAAGGCAGGCAAGCCCTCTGAACGCCCTGCCACCCATCCTCTGGCTCAGCTGTGTGGCCCTGGGCCTCCAGCGGACAGTGATCTTATGGGAGCCTCTATGGTGCTCCGACCCAAGCAGGAAGCAAGGCGCACGGGGTCGCGGTGGGGGATGGACAAGGAAGGAGGGACTGCGCTGCTGGGGTGCCCAGTGACGGGGTCTGCCTGTGGAGAGGGGGAAAGCGGTTGAGAGGGCCTTCAAGCCAGGGCGGGGTGCCTGCGGAGGACAAGCAGCAGGCGTGGATGGACTGCACCCAGGAGCCCGGCCTCTCCCCCAGGCCCCCCAGGTGAATCCACAAGGACGAAGAACCTCTCCGGACAAGGGCAGGGTAGCATCTTCAGAGCCGAAGGCAGGACACCAGTCGACATGGTAGCCCCAGTTCACTGCCATGCTTGGGGGTGTAGGAAGACCACACGGTGAAATGATGGGTGCAGGAAATGTGGGTTCCAGCACTGAGTCTGAGACTCTAACAAGGGGCTTGGGCCAGGTCAGAGTGATTCTTGGGGGGTAGGGTGGGGGGGTAGCAGGAAAGTAGCTCACCGTTCAGGTCATGAGAGAGAGAAAGAGAGAGGTAATGCCCTGTAGAAGGGAAGAGAGAAAACCCCTGTGATATTTTGGATGTACATACTGGTTACAGGGGCCGAGCAAGCATGCTTAAAAGGGAACAATAGTTGGGAGGAACAGAGGATTCCCAGAAAAAAAGCAAAAAAGCCGACCAACCATCAAACAAAGAAATAATGGACAAGGACGGAAGCAGCCCTGTGGCCTCTGGCAGCTCTGGCTGTCCACAGTGAGGCCCTGCCCCCAGCCGGCTGGAGAAGACGGCAAACAAAGCCATTTGGGGAGAGGGATGAGGGTGACAGTGGTGTTAAGCCATCAGTAGGCGGAGACCAAAGCATTCAAATGGTTGGGATCAGCCAGACTATGGAAGGTGACTTGGGTGGGGCCCAGGATGATAGGAATATAAGCAGGTAAAGGAGAAAGTTCCTGGCCAGGTGGAAGCTCTTCTTAAGGAGAGACATGGCGAGGCCAGGTAGCTCAGTTGGTTAGAGTGTCGTCCCAATATGCCGAGGTTTTGAGTTTGATCTCCAAGAAGCAACCAATGAATGCATAAATAAGTGGAACAACACGTGGATGTTTCTCTTTCTCTCTCTCTCTCGCCCTCTCTCTCTCTCTCTCGCTCTCTCTCTCCCCCTTCCTCTCTCTCTATAAAAAAGTCAATTAAACCCGGCCAGCATAGCTCAGTGGTTGAGCATCGACCTATGAACCCGGAGGGCACATGCCTGGGTTGTGGGCTCGATCGCTGGTTGGGGGCGTGCAGGAGGCAGCTGATCAGTGATTCTCTCTCATCATTGATGTTTGTCTCTATCTCTCCCTCTCCCTTCCTCTCTGAAATCAATTAAAAATATATTTTTTTTTAAAAATCAATTAAAAAAAAAAAAAGATGGGGTAGAGCAGTCCGTCAACAAAGAGCCAGAAGGTGGCAGTGTCTACCCAGGGAGGGGCATAGGGCTGAGGAAGTGTCCTTTAGCCACCACAGCTAGTCACCAGACGTGCAGCCCCATTGCCCCTCGCCATGAGCGCCAAGCCTGCCAGGCCTCCCTCCCGTGGCCTGGCCCCCGACTTGGTCTGTCCATGACAAAGTGCCTCGTCAGTGACCTGTATGACAGCTGGGAGGCCCTGGCCTCTGAGATCTAAATAGAATCCTCTCCCACTCCCATCTCACAGGCAGTGGGACCCCCAGCATCCTCCTCACTGTTTCCAGGGTTCAAGAGGGCTTGTTGCCTGGCCGGTGTGGTTCAATGGTTGAGCATCGACCTATGAACCAAGAGGTCACGGTTCAATTCCCGGTCAGGCACATGCCTGGGTTGCCGGCTCAATCCCCAGTGTGGAGCATGCAGGAGGCAGCCGATCAATGATTCCCTCTCATCATTGATGTTTCTCTCTCCCTCCCTCTCCTTTCCTCTTTGAAATCAATAATATATATTTTTAAAAAATTAAGAAGGCTTGTTACCTAGTCCCCCGGCCGAGTGCTGTACTGCTGACCTCCTAGCCCAGTGATGGCGAACCTATGACACGCGTGTCAGAGGTGACACACGAACTCATTTTTTTGGTTGATTTTTCTTTGTTAAATGGCATTTAAATATATAAAATAAATATCAAAAATATAAGTCTTTGTTTTACTATGGTTGCAAAGATCAAAAAATTTCTATATGTGACACGGCACCAGAGTTAAGTTAGGGTTTTTCAAAATGCTGACACGCCGAGCTCAAAAGGTTCGCCATCACTGTCCTAGCCCCTGCCTCTCACTGCCTGGTCCGTCTCTTCCCTCTGCCATGCGCCTGAACTGGAAGTGAGTCTCTGAGCCAGGACTTCTCCTTGCAGAAGTTATAGCTTGGGGAAGCAAACAGTTGAGAATGGAATATTATTGGCCCTGGTCTTTAAAAGTCCTATGGAATCAAAACCCCAATGACTTTTTTTCCGAAAGAGAAAAACCCATCCTACAATTCATTTGGAATCTCAGGGGATTTTGCCTAGCCAAA